GTGTACCTCAGGCTGGTGTTATTCATCAGGGCTTTGGCCAGCATTTTTGCTCCAGTGTCTCCAATGTTGTTTCCACTGATGTCCAGTTCAGCCAGAGTAGCGTGGCCACCCAGTGTGCTCAGAAGAATGTGCATCCCTGTCTTCAGCTTGGAGTCACACACTGAAAGAGACTGCAAGGGCTGCAAACATGTGTGTGTGTTAGTGTATGTGTGTGTGGTCCTGACTATCCACTGACTCCTATAACTCTTAATTTTCTGTCACACTGGATGATGGAGTCATTGAAACCTATGTGTCTTGGTCACAAAAAACTATCATGCATTTGGTTCTTTCATAGAGTTATTATCAGTCTTGAAATATGACACAGTATGCTGGGTCAAAAATATGCATACAGCAACTTGAATTAACACTTTTGGTGAAATAGAAAATTGTGTTAATTAAATTTTCTCAGTACTATGGCCTCTAAATGGCTTGTGAGCATTTATGATTGACTACCAGCTGCTGACTCCTCCAAGTCAATTTAAATAGGGCCCATTTAAAGCATCCCTTAAACTCGGCCACAAAAACTAGAGTGATAAAGTCTGTGGAGCTCAGCAAAGATCTGAAAATGCAAATCATTAATTTGAACAAGTCAGGAAAGTCACTTGAACCATTTCAAAGCAGCTAAAGACCCCAAAATCATCTGTGCAAACAAGTGTAAGTACAACATGGATGGTACAGTTGTGTCACTGCCACAGTCAGGAAGAAAATAGAATCTATCACCTGCTGCTGAGAGACAATTGGTCAGGGTGGTCAAGAGTCAACCAGGAATGAGCAAAAAGCAGCTCTGCAATGGATAAGGCTGCTGGAACACAGCTGTCAGTGTTCATAGTCAAATTTGTTTCATATCGCAGTGAACCGAGAGGCTGCAAGAAGGAAGTGACACCAAAAGGCTTGTCTGAAGTTTTCTGCTGATCACATGGACAAAGAATAAGCAGACCAGAGCTCTGTGGTCAGAAGGAACAAAAAATAAAGCTGTTTGGTCACTATGACCAGAAATATGTTTACAGGAAGGAAGGTGAGGCTTTTAACTCCAAGAACACAAAACCTACCATTAAGCATGTTGGTGGCAGCATCATGCTCTGGGGCTGTTCTGCTGCCAGTGGAACTGATGCTTTACATGAAGTAAATGGAATAATGAGGAAGGAAGATTACCTCCATATTGTTCAGGAAAACCTAAAACCATCAGCCAGAGGTTTGGTTCTTGAACATAGTTGGGTGTTCCAACAAGACAATGACCCCAAACACACATCAAAAGTGGTAAAGAAATGGCTGAATTAGGCTACAGTGAGGGCTTTAGACTGGCCTCTCCAAAGTCCTGCTTTTCACCCCATCAATACCCTGTGGACTGTGATGAAGAAACAAGCCTGCATCAGAAAGCCAACAAGTTTAGTTTAACTGTACCAACTACACAGCTACCAAAAGTGCCAAACTGAGGTGAAAACGGCCAAAGGACATTTAGCAATTGAGCATTGCTGTATGAATAATTTTGACCCAGCATATTTCGTCACATTTCCAGAAGGCCTTTAGTAAATCAATGAAACAGCCAGAATGCATGATTGTTTTTTGTAACCAAGATGCATGGGTTTCAATAAATGGACTGAATCTGATTGGTCGTGTGTTCATATAGCAACAAGATAATGACTCCAAACATACTTCAAAGCTGTGCAGAGACTATCTGACCAAGAAAAAGGAATCTGGAGTTCTGAAACCGATGGATTGGCCAAGTCAAAGTCTGGATTTGAATCACATTGAACACATGTGGGATGCAGTACATTTAAAGATTGATCACACAAGAGTTTCATCTAAAGCAAGTCTGTGGGAGCAGCTAGAAACTATCTGGAACTCAGTAACAACAGAGACTGTTGAAAAGTTCATAAAAACAATGGCAGCAAGAATGCAGCTGTTATCAAGACCAAAGGAGGCCACAGAAGATATTAAGCTTTTTGGTTATTATGTGTGAAAAATGACTATTTAATTGTTTCAGTGTGTTATTTGCCAAATAAATAACAATAAAGTTTTTAGTTTTAAAAAATGATTTCTAAAATGTGTCTGTTTTCTCATTTTAATGACAGGCGGTCTAATACATTTATTCAGCACTTTATATATGAGCATATTTATGTATATAAAACACATTTATATAACAATAATATATATGTATATATAAGAGATAACACATCTATTGTGCATTGTTAACAATTACTTGAAATATGCTCTGTGCTTCTAAAACAGACTCCACTCATGTATCATACAGAAAGCACTGTACATGCATCTCATGCAGAAATCACACTCTAATATATATGACTGCTAGTTATTCAATTAAAAGCAAACTTAAAGTGTCACTTACACACTCTTCATCCTGAATGAGCTGAGCTATACGATGAAGCACATCAGTGAGAGCCCTGGTACAAAGAGAGAGTACATAGCAAACCAAGAGTCATGAAAAATATGAGATGGACTAGACAGGAAGAAAGCACAGATAACACAGGAATGAAAAAAAGTCACAGACATCAGCAACATTTAATCCAGAATTAAATTGGTAAAGAAGAGGACTACAAGATGATTTAAAATATGGGAGTATGACCCCAAAGGGCCAGTGGAAATTCCCTGGTTGTCTGTGACATTGTGTCATTTGAATAAAGTTGCATTTTAAGGCATTTTAAGCCTTTTATACTTATTGGTCAAATAAGTATTTCTATATTGGTTACACTTTCTGATCATTGTCCTTTAAGGCCTCACCTGACCAGGCTGTGGATGAATTCAGTGGCCAAGAAGTTGTTAACAATTCAACAGCTCAAAAACTAAATTTAACTACAATAGAAGTAACAACAGCAGTGAGATTTTAGTTTTTTCCCTAAAAGTCAGTTTTGTTCAGAGCACTAACATTCAGAGCTCTGTCTGCTTGACAGATAGCAAGCAGTTTGAACTACATTTTTGGCTCCCACAGATAAGAAAAATGACTTCATTAGGTTTTTACACAAGGTGTTAGCAGCTCAAAGGACTCCTTTTGAGTGAATTTTGATGTTTTCAACTTCAAAGGTTTGTAGATATACATCAATGTAATGAGCTGATATCACGACAATGCATGGTAATAGAGTAAAAGGATCATAGTATAATGTTTACCAGACCTGGATTTCAAGGTGAAGTTTCTTCCTAGTGCAAGGTGTCGGAGAGACTGGCATCGACCAACAGACAGAACCAGTGTCACCATGTCATTCTCAAAACCTAGAGTCAGATGGTGGGTGAAAAGCAGGAGCAGCACAGAGTTGGAAATGATTATGTAAACTTTAACAAAAAATGAAGAGAGGACTAAAGGCTGCTGGCAGCTGCATAGCAAACTGTTCCATATGATAATGATAATAATTCCATTTCTGAGATTTAAACCTTTTTTTTTTCTAACTAGTTTGTATGTCCAACTATATTTTGAACGGATGGAAAAGCCAAGTATGTCATCTGACTTGAATCTAAGACAACACATTTGGATTATTTTAAGACAAAAGTGGAGCAACACAAGTGCTACAGCATAGAGCCACTGAAAGGAATTGTCTTTGAAGAATGACTAAACATCTGGACATACAAAATATATTTTAAAAAAAGATCTGAATCTCAGTAATGACAGACACTTTTGCTGCATTGAGTTTGTAATGTGGGGTCATTGTTATGTCACTATAGTAAATACAATCATTAAGTTTTTCATTTCACATGAAAGCAAATGTTCTGCTGTTCAACTCT